AAGATTCAGCCCCGCGCGAAAGACCTACCGCCTCTTCCGAAGCCGTTAACCTACGAAAAAGACCCGGATCTGGCTAAGTTCCCCCTTCCGGGCCCACTGAAGCCGAAGCCAAAGTCTCGCAAGCCTGTTAGTGTCATTCCTATACTTTTCATGCAACTAAATTCAAGTCCTGACCTTAATCTAAGTTTATGTCGATGCTTCCACCCAGACGGACGCAAACATCGGAACTTCTTCCACTGCCACCCAAACGGACACTGACGATGCTGCCTCATCCACTGACCCGAGCCCGGCCTCCTGATAATGCGTCATTTTGGGTCTGGTAAAAGACGACATGAAGGAAACGATGCTTTCTGGCTTGAGGTCTACCTTCTATGGGCTGGTATGGTTGGCGGCTTTCTTGTATAACATTACGTTTTGTTTGTGCACCGGCAGCTTTGCCGTGTAATAATTGAATACACTAAAGATATTTCTCCTTAAACCGTGACTACACCTTCTGTGGCGATCCAGTGCATGGCGACATAGAACTCGGATAGACTTCGCAGTCGCGTCTACAAAGAATATGCAGTAACTTAAGTATCTTCGTTTTTGACCGCGGAGTTGCCATCTCTGTGCTGAGAGCCTGTGCTTTGGCCCAAACAATGCAATAACTTGCCCGAACTGCACTTCAATCCGTTATACCTCTCATGCATCATCCATGCGGTGTAAGTGGACAATGTATCTAGTTACACGTACTGATAACAATGAAACCGGATTTGAAAGCATTCATTTATGACGAAGCCTAGATGTATGCAAAAACCTATGTAGTAGCCTTGGCTCTTTCATACCTAGGCTTTCGGCTCAATCCAGAATGCAACGTTATCGGAGCTTTCTTTGGGAGCCCTGATGCCGTCCTCAAGAGGCAGCGCAACATCCTTTCTGTTCTTGTGGGTGACGCATAGTTGGTGGTTGATAACGTACCTATGACAGGCGCGGTTCTTCTCGGTGATAGTCATGTTCGGTTGTTTGGCTAGGTAGCTCTGTAGGCAAACCTCCTTCGTTGCGCTAAGCCACTGGTTCTTGCGTTGGATGCCCTGGTTCTTGGCCGTAACCTTCTTCAGAGCATTGTTGAAGAGTCGCAGGTGTGTCTTTCCCATTTCCTCTTCAGTATCCCCATTTGGGCCTGGGATGATGGCCCCCTTGCCGAAAGTGCTAGTACCTTCACCAGCACCCTTCTCATCAACATCCTCATCCCCCTCGAATCCTCCTATCTGCGTATTATCGTCCAGATTCGGACCGGGCTCCTAGGCGGATGTCAGTTAAGAGCCAGCAGGAGTTATGGTAACATATACGAACAGAGACGCGCATCTTCTTGATTACTCTCTCCGGTGCGGGTGACGGCGGTGGAGGGGAAGGAGACGGCATCGGGATGCTTTTGAGCCTTTCCTCTAGCTCATCATCATATCTGAAGACTTCCTCGAGATTGAGGTCGGGCCTAACGGGAAGAGGCTTGTCCCAAATCTGGCGATCGAACAAACCAGAGAGAAGCCGCGTCTGCCGAGGATAGGTAGGGAAGGGAGGGGGATTGTTAGGATCGACGATGAGGTATCCTTGGGCATCTCTAGGAAGGCCGTCGGAAGGAAGTGTCGCCCCACTGGCAGACGTATTGCTCACGTTGGGCATGTCCTTAGGGCCGTCGGGATTGTCGCTGTCGGAGTCGCTGTCGGAATCCATGGCAAGGCCTGGCTGTGTTGCGAGTTGGAGCTGTTGGAAGCAGAGATACTGAAGGCCTGCACCGAACCGAGCTAGCCGAATCGGGCGATATGGCGCAATGGCATTCAAGCTTTATCAAGACTCAAGCTTCTCCACAGCCATAGATGGCACCACCTACCCTCTGCCGCCATCATCGCCGCCTGAGCTCACTAATCGCAACCATGTCATCCAATTGCGCTGCCGATCAGACCCTCACGAACATCTTCTCGGATCGTGACAAATCGGGAAGCGTTCTAGCCGAAGTCAAGCTCGCATGTCAATCGAGATCAGCTACCCAAGCCCAACAGCTAGAGTGTGTCCACAGCGACATTCTCCGACTCTAGAACGAGGCCGAAGTCGCACGCAACGAGACCCGCCAGATCCAAGAGCTTCTCCAAGGCGCCCGTAGCCAGAGCCACCGGCTCCAGGGTCAAATTGACGACGGCCGCAACCAACTCCAGCAGCTTCGACAGGAATTGAGCACCGCGCGCTCCGACAATCGGCGTGCCCAAAGAAACTTGCAAAACGTCCGCTTCGAGAAAAAGCTACTCCAGAACAGTCTTTCAGACGCTCGCAACGAGACCCGCCTTGTCCAGGACAAGTATGACGGCTTGCAGGACACAATCACAGTGGTTGCTCTTGATGATGGTCGGATATCCCGTGAGAAGGCGCTGGCGGCTGAAGAATGTTAAAACTTGGGCAAGACGCACAGCGCAGAGATGTCTGCCCTCATCGATAAGCACAACAAGGAAATGCGCGCCAAAGATAGATCGATGGAAGAGCTCCGTACGCAGCTACTTCAGCAGGCTCGGTCGGGCAACTTTGAAGCTGGGACCGACAACTTCTGGAAAAGTCTAGTGGAGAAGAATGCGCAATTGGAAGTGGACCTCACTTGCTACATGACGGAGCTCCAGTTTATGCGAGAGGTGACTATCAAAAAAGAAAGGTCCACCTATGCCGATTTCCTCTGCAGAGTGGTTGAATTTCAGATCGAGTGTAGGACTTTGAGGCGCCAACACGCCATCGACAGGCAGGAGCTTAAGTTCCAATTGGCGAGAGAGCAATCCGCGAGGGCCAAGGATCAAGTGGATACGGATGCCATCATCTCTTCCAAGGACTGGCAGATTAACCAGCTAGAAATTGATGCAGCCATCGGGGAAACTGAGGGCACCTCGGGGAAAGCGACGTTGTCTGAGCATTGGAAGAAGGCTCTTGATGATTCTCAAAGCAGACTAGCCGCATTCAAGGCCGATCGGGACCGCACAGTCGGCAAGCTGGCCGCTGCTAAGAAAGAGACTGAATGGGTCATAATTAAGAACAACGAGGAGAGGATGAAGCTTGTTAATCAGCATCACGAATTGGTTCGCAAGTTTGCTGAAAGCGAAAGGGTGCGCACTTTGTTGGCGGGTATAACGAAGGAGTTAACAAAGGATTTGAAGAGCACTAGGGTTCACTGTGCTGGTCTTGTAAACGCCAGAGATGAGTAGGCAAGAATCAAGGATGGCGGGCTGGCTTGTATAATATCCATGTTTGTAACATATCGAAATGACTTTCCCGACCGTTGTGCATGCTAATAAAAGGCTTGTCAGTTTCCGAGGTTATAGTCCACCAACTAAGTACCCCAACGGTAACTAAGGGCATAGTAGGAGTTTTCCGCAATCTCAGAGAAGTGCCTGATGATCAACGTTCCAGAAAGATCACTGCCGTTATCGAGCTGCAGTAGACGGATTGTGTTGGACCAAATTCGGTCGTACTTGAATTTTTGGCCACGCATCTTCACACGCCGATCTGGACGCTGGGACAAGGTAGGTAGGATAGTAGGCATCGTCGATCGAACGGTCTTTGGATAAGTGAACTTGGCCGGTGCTACCTAGGTAGGTAATGTGCCGATATTTAACTTAGTTTTATGACTGCAACCTACCTGTCACCTCGCACCCCGGCTGGATTTAAGCTACATCGTGCCTTGCAAATCGAATATGCAGCTAGGTATGGCAGCCCGGCTAAATACCTCTTTTTAGATACTACATAACACCGGTGAAGGATCTTCACGTAAGAAATTAGCGTATGCGATGTACTAAGTTTAGCAAGATGTTTAGGTATAGATAGAAACGTACCAGGAAGAATGTTTTAACAAAATCGGATGTTTGGAGTTCAAAACCTGTAGTGTAAAGGATCTACACAGTTGCGTTGGTTGGTTGAGCTCCAATAAGGGTGAATCTGGCGTTTGAAGATGTTAGTTCATACGCACGTGTTGAACGCCACAGTGGCACAAAGCGGAGACTCCGGGTCGGATGCTTCCATTGCCTCCTTTCAAAGCCTCTCCTGTGGAAATGGGGCCATGGATTTTGAAGGCTTTTCGGTCGTGGCGGTCATAATTGGGCGGAGTGCATGCAGCCAGTTTCTTGCTCACCCGTCTGACTTTACTAGTTTCAATCGCCCAGCAGCCAAAGGATCTTTCACTCATCGCAGCCTAAAATCAAATGTCTTACGTGTCCACCACCTGCCTTTTCAAGTCCGTCTCGAACCTCCGAAGCATCGGTTCCAAGAATACGGCTAAGCCTCCACAACCACGGTCTTCACGTCCGCTGTACTCAATTTTTTCACATAGAATCACGCCCTAAGGCCTCATCTATGTTGTAGGTCCTAGGTAGGTAGGTACTGCAACGCACTGCATTTAACGGAGATAGAGAAGAGCATCCATCCGACTTCCCTCCTCTTGAACGGATTCAAAGCAGGCCCACCGCCGTGACTTGCGGCTGAAAGCAGTTCGTTAGTAGGGAAGAAACAGCACCAAGCCAAGCAAATGATGAATCAGATTGCCACCAAGTCGTGCGTCACAAGGCCTTACATTGAGATATGCCT